GCTGCCGAAGCCGACCTGACGGAGGTAAATGAAAATCGATGGCATGCGAACGAGCTTTAAGGGGTGGAGGTGTGTAACGGTGATACTACTGATCGGGAGGCACGCGAGTAGTATGTGTTGTTCGTAGAATTTCGCTTTGAGTCGGTTGAAAAATGGAATTCTGTTGCGGAATTCCCGGGGCCACTTTGTAATATTTGCTTGGATTTGACCGACGAATGATTGGAGGCAACGAATCTCTAGGAAGAATCGTTCGGGAGAAGATTTGTGTCCAGTTTTGTAACTAAGATGCAGATTAGAGTTTTGCTTCCTTGTTCAGTGGTCTGTAACCGGTCAGTAGGCATTTCCGAATAAATAACTCCGCAGCGAAGGCCGTCTTCCTTTCACTGGTGGTCTGGTTAATACTAGTTTACAGAAGGCCGATGTACGTTTTTTTTTCGATGGAAATTGTGGCCATGAAGTGCATCTCTTATTCAGCTAAATTTTTCAGTTGGTGGAATCCGTGCACCCCAAGGACCGAGACGCTTAAAATGATATCTAGCTAGTTTGTATTTACTATTCTTTTCCTCCTTATAATGCAGAGCTATGCAGGACTTGATAAAAGAACGAGTCCGCTGTGTGATCTTGACCAGCGGCACACTGTATCCTATCGAGCCCATCCAATCGGAACTACACATGTGAGTAGTATTCATCACCTGATCTTTTCCTTTTTGGTTAGACATTTTTTGTTCACGATGCATCTCATTCCTACTGTCTGCACTCAAACGGTAAGCTAACACTAGAAGTGAGACTCCTTGATTATTCCCGGTATATTCATTGTATGGCTTTTGTTAATTTTCCGGTTATTAAGCCTACAACAATTCAAGGTGAGTGATAAGGCCTTGATTTCAAGTCATGCTGCGATTCTACTATCATATTTGCTTTCCGCGGTATTTTCTCACTATCTGCCATAGGCTGTGGGTCATGCTGAAACTCTGACACTTATATAGCTAATACGCTCCCCACACGCTTGAAATTTCGAAATATGCGGATATGTTGTGCATTCAGTGGATTTTTGTTTCCTTCCGATGCAAGGCGACGTCATCTAACGGCTACCTTGGTTTCAGTCTGTGCAGAACAGCGTGAATTATCTCTATCGTTGCATACTTGTTCTCTTTTATTTCCTTTTCACAACAAGCAACAGGAATGGGGCAGCTGAACCTCCTGCGACTTGGATGCAGAGTTTGCAAACGATGATCTGAATAGGATCTGAACTAAAAGGATAGCTCATCAGCCAGGAGTTATCATATGTAGAATTAGTACAGCGCTCTCGAAAAAAGTTGTTTATTGAACGCTAACTGAAAACGTGTGCAACGGTTGTTACGGGGTTATGGCAGTTCCTGTGTCAGTTTCTAGGCCACAAGCTCAACACAACTATTTTTTAAGCTTGGTTACTCCACTTCTTTCTGTTTTTAAGATAATTTATCTAACAGTCCGACATTGCGTTCCTCCTCTCTTGTACACAGGAATTTCCCCATCTCCCTACAAAACCCCCATGTGATTAAGCCGGAACAAGTCCGACTCGCTGTGATTACACATGGCAAAGACGGGATTGCACTAAATTCCAGCTACGCAACTCGTGATAAACCTGAATACCGTACCAGTTTGGGAATGACATTAGGTGAGTTCTGTCCTCTGTGTAACGTTCTTCTATCGGGTTTAAACGGTTCTAACTTACTTTTGTCTACTTTATCCCATTTGGTATGTGCTTGATGCATCTCGTTGCAATGTATACTGGACATAAGGTGACACTTTTACTACCTGCCTGGTTATTTCTATACCTGCACGTGCAAGTAGATTTTCGCAACTTTAAAGTGGGTCCTAAATGAATCAGACACCTGATTGGAATTACCCAACCACCCGATCCGATCGGTGGATAGTGTTCTTGCGGTAAACATCCCTAAACTGATGGCCGAAAAGTCCGCATGTCTTATCCGTGGTTTGTCCTAAGAGTAAAAGAAGGTTATGTGTGGCTGCACTTTTAAGAATTCGACCGCATTTTTATCACCGTCCAAGCAGTTATTTGTTGCTGTTCTGGTAAGAAAACCCACAGGGATGGTAGTCATCATCGAAGAAAAGTCCGTTTGTGGGAGTGGTAACTGTTGGTTAGGCTTGCATTCCAGGTATTCATCTTAGACATATATCTGTGATTGGTGGGGAGGTCAATTCCAATATTGCCGCTTGCACCCCGAACCATATGTCGGGAGGGAATTTCAAATCCACCCCCCCAAAAAAAACTTGGTTGTTGCCTGCAGCCGGTATTTTAACGCCGTCCTTTTTGATTCACAGTGCATCCTTTACATGAAGATTATGGTTTTCAGGACTGGTTACGGTGGATCATCCTGTTTTTTTATTTCTAGTCGAGATTATTCAAATTGTCCCCGCTGGATTGTTGGTGTTCTTCACATCCTATGGAATGATGAGCCAATGCATAGATGCCTGGAAGGTAAGTGCGTTGAAACGTGTTGTAGTTTACTTTATCTGGAAACAGCCATGTCAGATATTCCTTGCTGGGGAGTCCACTTAGGGTATTCATTTATCATGTAAATCTCATCAGAAGTCTGTGATACTAGAGAAGAGCTATTAGCCGTTCGTGCACGTTGTTGCTAAATGAAAGCAAACACTGAATCATTTCAGAAGTTTGGTAAACAATCGGTGGAATAGTTGCTGGTTAACGTTTCGTTTTTGACACAAAAGTTTCGTCAGGCCCTGACTACCTCAAAACCCGATCATCCGGGTTAATTACTCATGTCGTCTGACGAAGCTTTTGTGTTAAAAGCGAAACTTTGCCCAGCAATAAATTTACCGATTGTCTACCAAAGCTGTGGAATGATGACCATCCAATCAATCCCAAACACTTTCCGAATGATTGCAAATACACTGAACCTTATACACCGGAGAATAGAAATTTCACTCAGCAAAATTAAGGAACAGTCATATTCGTAATACACAACCCATACGGTTACTGAAAATTATTCGACAGCCCACGACCGGTTTCGCCCTTCTCGGGGCACATCAGGTAGGCGCAGTCCCCGAGTTTGCGTCAACCTTATGTTCAACCTGAAACTGGAAACATCACAAACGAGAGATTCAGCTGGGTTCCAGATGAGTCCCTCGCAAAACCGAATTAGTTTGTAAAATGAGTGTTTTCGCTAAGGAACAATCATTTCTTGATTTTCACAGTCGCCGATCCGAGAGAGGCAAAATAGACACAAACTCTTTTCGATAGAGCTCAGGATTATTGTTTTCTATCACCGGTATGAAAAGTCTAATAGAGGGCACGTCGTCGGGAATATAATTCAAGTCCGACCTTGAGGCTGTGAAGCGGATTCTGCTTGCATTTTCCACTGGAGTATGTTCTCAAACCTTCTAAAAAGCAGTGTATCCAATCCATTAGAGAGGAGCACTTTGTTCACCTCGTGATGTGCTATAAGAGGTTTGAGATCAGTGGATTATACTATGAAAGCTGTGTATGGGGTTTTTCGTCCCGCTGAGGCTTTGGTTATTCGAAGGCCTATTGGCGTAACTTCTGTTCGAAAAGAGGCTAATGTCGAGAATTCGAGACGAAGGGAACAATAACAACTGTGGGCAGCGTGTATCGATCCATTGTAAACATATCGAAATTACAACCCTTAGTTACTGCTTGTTTAGAGAGGGAGCACGTAGAATCTTAGCAAGTTATCCTGGGATGACAGCACAACTTTACAGATGGTAGATTCTTGTCGCGTGCCACCATCCCAGTTGTACCGTAACGCATGCTGTTTGTTCTCATTAAGGGTTGTCGTTGATGATGTTCTCTGGGAGGGGACACTTGAAGGGACCGATCAAGGGTGTCCTGATAGTGTCCTACCGTTGTAGGAAGTCTCGAGGGACCAAAAATGCGATCCCCATGGAAGGGAACAACCGTACCGCCTAAATTATTTTTTTGGCTGGCCTAATCATCCTGTCGTCACTTTCAGAACGAGCAACTGTATGACAAAATGCTCCGCTATAAACGCATCTTCGTAGAGCCACGGGACAAAGTTCAATTCGCAAAAGTGAGTTGTGGCTGTTTTATTCATACCTTCTCCTCTTCCGCCACATGTTCGTTTGTTCCTAATTCATTGTTGCTCATACACGCATCTAGTCAGCCCAGTCAACCGTGTTCCTCTTGAGCTCCAGGCAGCTCGACGGTTAGGGCGCGAAGCTTTTGAGCCGGAAGTCCATGGGTCGAACCCAACTCTCGCTTTCCGGATGCTTCTGTCTAGGCTCGAACACCCTGGCAGTATCATCCCTCGTGCTCCCGTGATACACGAATGATCTTATAGGTATTCTTTCATTGTTGTGATGCCTAACTGTTGGTCCCTGGGCTTTGTCACATCTGATTCTTTCTCATTGCCACGATTTCTCATCCGACATCAAATCAGACACAAAGCCCTATTCTACTCATTAGTCTGGACAACGTCTAGGCTGGCGAACTTTCATGATATGGCTAACACGGTGCTGGATTTTTCGTCTCCTTTGGACAAAAGCGAATATCTCACTCCTTGCCACATTGAACTGGCCAACACAAATACGGAGCTGTTTTAATATAAGGAAATTTATTAGTATACTGTTATACGAAAAGGACAATTGTAGGACTATATATTCCTTTCTCTGGTGCATTGTGATCAAGGCAACCAACCAGGTAAAATCATGTTGGTTGGACTGCCAACTAAACTGATTTATTCGAATCGTCCCGATTACGGACCGGTTGAATGGCAAGTGGCCATACACAAGGAGACATTTACAAGGGTCAACCACTGTCGATCTGGTCTTCACACCGCGCGCAATTAACCGACCGAATCGGAAGCGTTTTCGACAAGTTTGGAAAAATTCGCAACAATAAATCTTAGGTAGTTTGTCATTACAGAAGGATCTTAATGTGGCATCCTCATTGTGGGACCTAAGTATGACAATCCTCCCGGTGGAAAGCTTTTCAAAGTGAACACGAGGATTAGCAGGGTTTTCCGGTTCAACACTGCTAGTAGGCTTCATCGAAAACTACTCAATGATCCCATATTCCCTGAATCAACTTAACCGTAACCGGTTAGGCCTTGGCAGAACCTCAACTTCATGCTTCCTATTTGACGTTAGTGGGGGTCGCTTGCGACTACCTTAGGATCCTGTTTCGTTGCATCAACAGTTAATATGTTATATGGAACACATAATTAGTATCTTGCACAAGTCGTTCGTTGAGCGTCGCATAAAGGTTGGGCTTGGATGGATTCAGTGTCTTTTCCACGAGGGTAAGGGGTTAGTGCGTGCATCTATCTTCGTTGTGTTGCAAATCTAAGGCACTACTTGTGGTCTGCCATCCGATTGTACCATTAAAAATAGGTGTTTTCGGACTATCGCGACGTGGCCTCTGGTGCCGTCCCGTGCGATGTCAACGGAGCTGCTCTGTTTGCTGTGATGCGTGGAAGAGCTAGTGAGGGTCTCGACTTAGCCGACTTCGCCGGTCGTGGTGTGGTCGTCTTGGGTCTGCCCTACCCACCTTTCCATGATGCACGTGTTCGTCTCAAGATGTCCTACTTGGACGAACAACTCGCTGAACTGAACAATCAAGCTTCTAGATCAGGTCCAAATGCAAAGGCTTTCGTGGCCAGTCACCCCACTGGTAAAAAGTGGTACAATCAGCAGGCTTGGCGGGCTGTGAATCAATCTATCGGAAGGTTAGTTGCTGGATATTTGAGTTGTTTACTTTCGTTCGTTTTGCCTTCTGCAGGCCAGTCGTTGTTTACGGCTGCGGTATCACAAAGCCGTCTAATTCGCCCTCGACTGGAAAGCTTCCCTCTTTTTTTATGTCCTCCGGTACATTATTTCTTATAAGGACTGTTCATGCCTTCTCTCATGGACGAATAAGTGTCTGTCGGAGATTCCTGAGTTCACCACATACACTGGTATCAGGCAAGGATGTCCTCTTTCGCCCTTTCTCTTCAGCTTCTTAGTCGATATGCTGCTTGATTCTCTTTTGCCTGTCTCTGTACTACAAATACTACAGAGGCGTTTTCTCACGGGCATTGATTACACCGACGGTGTTGCTCTTCTTTGATCAGATGCCTTAAAAACACAAACTATTTTAAATAACATAAGTAATTGGTTTGCACAGTTAGAGATGCGCTTTCCACCTGTAAAGTGTAAAGTGCTGCTGAAAGATTGGGTGGAATCGAACAAAAACTAATGCTTGCACGCGAGCCGATCGATGTGGGCGGCTGCACAAGTCCCGGCAATCTGGCGAAAGATGAAGTCAATTCCGGAATCGGGAAGGCTAGGGCAGCTTTTGCCAACCTCCGACATTCGTGGCGCCAACGAAACATCAGCTTGACTATCAAAAGTGGAATGTACAATACTTTATGATTCAGGGACGTGGCCTCTGCGTGTGGGTGAACTTTGAAGGCTCTCTGTGTTTGAACATAGGTGCCTCCTGAGCATTGCGTGAATCTGGTGGGCATAATAGATCAGTATTACTGATGTACGGCAGATGGTTTTCGGGAAAGTTCATTCTCCCTCGATAGAGCCGCTAATTACGTCTCGCAGGTTACGCTAGTTTGGCCATGTTATTCGTATGCCAGAGCACGGTTTGACTCATTGAGCTCTCTTCACCAAGCCTTGTGTCGGGTAGAGACAACTCAGTGGAGTTCATTCCATGACCTGATAAAGAAGCATGAAAAACCTTACAGGTCAGCTCAGTCGCGTTGATGAATGTCGTCTTTATGGATATGGACCGCGTGCTTACGCACATCTTGTGGGTGTTTTGTGCAAGATCTGCAGCATCTGCGTCATATCTAAGGGTCATACCGTTGATTAGCGCCGCTTGAGAATATGAAGTTTGATGAAGACTGGTGTTGAAAACAAACTCCAAAACAAGAAATGTTTTGGAGCAACGGTGTAATATCTAATTGGAGGGAATCGACAGCCAGTTTACAAGTAACCATGGGGACGCAAACCTGTATTTTTTGGTCTTCAGAGCAACTTATGTACAAGGCTAACTGGACCCCCTACCGTCTGTAGTCTAGTATCGAACCTTGTTTTTCATTTTTCAGGATTATATATATATATATATATATAT